TAAAAAAAAAAAAATATTATATATATATATATAAAGCGCCAGGTCTTTCTAAGCCTTTCTATTACCAATCAGTGAGGTTTCTGTGATATATTACACACTGCCAATCTCTTTCTCTGACTAATGGAAAAATTCATGTGTAGCTCAATAAAGAGAATGTTTGTCTGTACCCCGGGCTCTCCGCTCCCGCGCCTCCGCCTGCTTCTTTCCCCCCGCGCCTGCCTGCCTCCTTCCCAAGGGAGGAAGGAGAAAAAAACACCCTAAAAGTCACTTTAATTTTTTGGGGGGGGGGGGGGGCTGCTGGTAGCGCAGGCAGGAGGGGCTGAGCTAAGAATTGGGCGTAGGTCTGGGGAAGGTGGTGCGTGGAAGCCCTTCCGGACGGCTCGGGCTGCTTCAGACCACCACCGGGAGCATAAATCCCCCCCAAAAAACTCCCCAAGCAAGAAAATCTTTTTATTTCTTTTGGGAATGCAGAGACAGTCAGCAGGGTGAGTCCTTCGTTTTGCGGCAACATCGGAAACCCCTCAACATGCGACTTTTTCCCCCTAAGATATAGAGGAAGGTTCTCCAAGCAAGCTGAGATTTTCTCCCTGCTGCAGGAGCAATTCGGGGTTTGGTTGGTTGGGGTTTGGGGTTTTTTTTCCACAGTTTGGGTTTTTCTCGCAGTTCAGGGTTTTTTTCCCACAACGTGGGGGTTTTTTTCGCGTTCTCCTTCATCCCGGGTCCCCCGGCTCCTGCGCGCGCCGGCGTCGGGCGCCGTGATGGCAGGTGGGACGCTCGAGAGCCAGTTGCCCCTTGGCGCTGCTCCGGCACAGCCTGGGACCGGGCCGGTTTCTCGGCACCGCGCTCGCCGTCCCCTTCCCGAGCCTCAGGAACGGCTTCCCAAACCCCGGCCCCGGTCTCCCCCTCCCCTCCCCGAGCCTCAGGAACGGCTTCCAAACCCCGCGGGACCACGCGGCCCATCAGCAAACCCGGTGAAGGAGCCGTAGGGAAGGTCACCCAAACAGCCAGGACCCCCCCACCTCGGCTCTACTGCAGGCCACCCCTCGAACGTCACACACGCCCGGCCCGCGCAAGGGAACCGGGCTGGAAAAGCTGCTCCTTCACGCAGCAGCACCTCCGGGCCAGCGCGGTTTCTTCAAGCTCCTGCTGTTTGCGGCGATCCAGAAGTAGCTCGTGTTGGCACCGGGGAAGTCAGTCAGGCTTCTCCCCGGATGGCCTCCCTTTCCAGGGAAGCGGAGCCAGCCGAGAGGCCGCCGCTGGGCCGCGTGCTCCTCCGCGCAAACCGGCCCTTCGTTGCTGAAGTGGGTCGTTTTGCGACGGCGAGGATGCCAGCCAGCGGCTGGCCAGGGCCCGCTCCCCAGGGAGCAAAGGGAAGAGCTGCCGGGAAAGGGTCAGGAACCCAACGAGAGGGGGAGAGAAAGCCGGGAAGAATAGCCCAAGAGTCCCTGAAACATCCCCACCCCTCCCAGGTTTAGTTCCAGGAGCCTCCCTCCACCCACGCAAGCCGGGCAGCCCCTTCTCTCATCTCTATTGCAGCCTGAGCAATTGCAGGATCTTGGGCAAGGGGGGGTGATCCAGGACAGGCTCACGGCAGCTTCTCCTTCCCCACGGCTCTGCTGCTGAAAAAAAAAGAGGGGTGGGCCAAGAGGAGCTGCTTTACCAGCACCTTTCCGGGCCAGCACGAACAGAAGAAATCAGGGATTGATTTATTTTTTTTTTTTAGTGGTGCAATTTGGGGGGGCCGAGACGCTGCACAGCTCACGGAGCACCAGAAGCAGGCGGAGGTGGTTTGTGCACCACTGCTGCCCAGCTAATCCCCGGGGAACCGGAGGCTCTTCACCTTCCGTGTTTGAGGAGGGGGAAGGAAACCCCCGCAGGGCACAGCTCTCCCTCCCCGGGAAGGCGGGCAGGCTGGGAGAGGACACGCCGAGGCGGTGGAGACCTTGCAAGCCCAAAGCTAGGTCAAAACCTGTCCTGGCTGCAGGCATCCCCTCCGCCGAGATGAAGCTGGGGTCATTTTGCATCATCAGGTACAAAATCTCCAAGAAATGCAGCGAGGAGGAACTCAAGGAAACCCGCACGCCCCGGGGAGGATTTCTGTGCTGTTTTCTCCCCTCCCGCCTGCACTCCCGGAGGTACCGCGACTCTGCTGCCCGAATGAAGACCCAAACCCCGCACCGTTCATGCGTACGATAGCTCTCATCCCTTCCCTCTGCTGCCGGACAGGT